AACGGTTTATTGACTAGCGAATTGGATCAATTTTGATCTCCAATTTTAGTGGGACCCGTACTTCAATTCTAATGGGACCAAGCATATTTATGTTCTATTCTACCCCGCGAGGTGATTAACGTGATATATTTATTTATCGAAAATCATTTAGAAATGAATGAAATATTTGATGTCAAAGTAACCATATTGAAACTATAAATTAATGAATAATTTGATTTATTGAAAATTGTCACACTTATTCCACATAACAAACTTTGGTGTGATTTATATAGTGGAAGTTTGAGAATTGAGTTTGTACCTCAAAGGGTACCAATAGTTTTTAGAACAGGGATACCTATATCCTATTGGGTTCGGTACTAAACCTACATGTGACCATCGTCGTCGTCTGGCACGAGCACGTGCTCATGTCTAAGTACGGTTCATTTCGTGTTCGGGTGCGGGTCCTTGTACTATATTAACTTTTTGGACAAAAAATATTGTAATTAATCAAATTCTTGGATACTTAATGCAATTAATTTTGATTGGCTTATTTTCGTGTAAATTTTTCTTTGGATTATCTATTAATTGACTAGTAGTCGTCAGGTAAACGACGTAACAAACGTCTGTTAACCGACTTAACAGAATCAGTACTGAACAGTGCTATCTGTTCGAGTTTGGAGGCTGTCTGAATAGTTACGACTGTTCTAAAAAAGCTTGAAGGATGTTTGAATGGCCACGAACGAATCTATAAATATCCACCATGCTGCCAGAACAATTAAACCATTTTCATTACAAACTTTCTCTGCTTTGAATCTCATTCTGATATTGTTCTCAAAGTGAAAACACTTTATTGAGTTCGTTGGAATTTCTGCAGATTGCTATGCTGCTTCCATAAAAGACGGAATTCGTTATATCCTTGGAAACGATTGCTGAACACATTGATGGCAGGAAATTCGTTTTAAGGAAACATTGTGAAGTCAGTGGGCTCGAATTAATTTTCTGATCATGTTGATCATATTGTTACGATGTGCAAATTATATTAATGTAATTCTATCAGTATTTGTATATTCAAATTGTTCGAAGGAGGAATTCATACTTCAATAACAACAATCTTAAAAACGAATTTGCATTTATTCTAGTTTATTATGTTTCTACTCCTTCCACTATTGATCTTCTGATTGTGTTTCAGAAATGGTAACTTACAGTACTACAATTCTCAATACGATCAGAGAAAAATCAGAGAAATTTAATGGGTCAGATTTTAAGTGTTTGCAACAGAAAACATTTTTTTATCTGACAAAATTAAGTTTGGCAAAATGTCTCGAAGAAGATGTACCTTTATACACCGAGAAGAAAGTGATGTTGAGAAATTGGCTACGATTGATGTATAGAAGTATTCCGATTTTCTATGCAGAATACTATTTATGGAGATCACCCATGTGGGTGAAGGGGTCGCTTCTAGAGAGTTATATGAAGATAAATTCTCTAAAAAAAACCACTCATAAACCAGGAGGCGTCCAAAGCCAAAATAGAAAAAAATGTGAGAACCAATTGTGTGACTTCTATTGTCTAGGTTTAAACAAATGTTTGACTGTTCAAAGTATCTTGCTACCGACTGGCCAAGTAAATTCGATAGTTTTTACTAGGAAAGTTCAAAGTCTTCGGCTACTTATTTCGATGTAGTTTTCTTCATTTATACTTCGAAAAAACATATAAGATGTTGTTTGAAAAAGACCGACATATTTAATTCATGTAAGGAATTGTTGGAAATGATTTATTAACTAGTGAATTGGGCCAATTTTGAACTCCAATTTTAGTGGGACGTGAACTTCGATTTTAATGGGACTAAGCATATTTACGTTCTATTTCACGAGGTGATTAACATAATATATTTATTTATCGAAAACCATTTAGAATTGAATGAAATATTTGATATCAAAATAACCCACACGAAACTATAAACTAGTGAAGAATTTTATTTTTGAAAATTGTCAAACATTTATCTCACACAGGAAAGTTAGGAAACTTCGATGTGGATATAATAGAAGTTTGGGAATTGAGTTTGGGTCTCAAAGGGTACCAATTGTCTTTGAATGGGAAAGGCCTATATCCTATTGAGTTTGATCCTAAACCCACACGTGCTACCATCGTCTGTCCGGCTTGACACGACATGAGCATGTGCTCGTGTCCGAGTCCAGTTCATATTCGGGTAAGGGTGCGTCCTTTTACTATATTAACTTTTTGGAAAAAAATTATTTAAATTTTTTGGGCTAAATTATAATTAATCAAATTTTTGGGTACTTAATGAAATTAATTTTCATTAGCTTATTTCCAAGTAATTTTTTGGTCTTGATTGTTTGTTAACCAACGTATCGGATGCAGTGTCATCTGTTTCAGTTTAGATGCTATTTGAATAGTGGCGACTTTCTGAAACAACTTGAAGGATGCTCGAATGGCCACGAACGAGTCTATAAATAGCATGCCCTACCGCCAGAATAATTACACAATTTCCATTGCAAACTTAATCTGCTTTGAATCTCCCTCTCTCTCTCTCTTGTTCTAATATTGTTCTCGAAGTGAAAATACTTCATTGAGTTCATTTGAACTTCTCAGATTCCGTAGGAGACGAAATTCATTCTATCCTTGAAAATGATTGCTGAATACACTTAGCACATTTGAAGACAACAAATTCATTTTAAGGAAACATTGTGAGGTCGGTGAACTCAAATTACTTTTCTGATCATGTTGATCATATTGTTACGCTGCGCAAATTACATCAAGGCAATTCTGTCAGTGTTTACATATTCAGATTGTTCGAAGTAGGAATTTATATTCCAGTAACAACAATAACTCAAATAGAGTTTTTAAATCCATCACACTTTCAGTTTACACAAAAAAGAAAAAGAAAAGAAAAGCATACAATTATCAAAACAAGCTGGCCAAACAATCACAAATACTAAAAACAGATTGGTAAACTTTGCAATCTCTCCCCATAATTATATTAGAACTTCAAAAGAATCAGTAATCAAAGAAGAACAAAGGTGTTCAAAGATCATTCTCACAGTTAGTTCTTGTAAAATACACAACTCCCCATTCCTATTTATGGTGCTGAGATGTCTGTGTAAGAAAGTGCAGGCACATATTTACAGCTGATATTTCAAAACTACTGGCTGGCAAAGGCATCGTGAAATATCTTTTGTGTGCAGATTTGACAGTAGCAGATCCTAAACATGTCAACAAGGCTTCTTCCTGCAAAACTGTCATCCACTAGGCCTCACAGATAGGTGATGACAGTATGCTTCCCACCCTATCGTCATTGTGAAAACCTCTGACCCGAGATAAACCTAAAAGACAGGAGGAGTTTAACAACAGTACCACGTCTTTCAAAAAGGGTTGATGGAATTAAATTGTTGATAAACGAATTGAGCTGTTTGATGCACATATTTAGAGAAGGCAAGCGAAATATATGGCTAATAAGGGGATGGAGAGGGAGACTACCTAAATACTCGAACATGGAGACATGCAAGGTAAGTTGGGGGTGTTTGCAAATGGAAGTAGTTCTTACAAATTTATAGCTTCATTAAGGTTTTCATTAACTATATATGGTGGAGTTAGTACCTCCATATTCTTATGCGAACCCTCTCCACTCTGTAATTGTGGAGGTAAGGACCATATCCCCCACCCACACATGTACTTTATTCTTATTATTAAACTACAGATAGGGGTCACCAAGCCCCACCTAGGCAAAATAAATAAATAAAATAAAGATAAATATAATGTTGTTCAATTAAAAAAAAAAAAAAAAAAGAACGATTACTAGCGTTCATAATACAAATAACCATATAAATCTTTCGCGTAAAACGGTGTGTATAACCGAAAATTAGAACCGAAAATGCCTCATGAAATTCTTGAAAATTGGGCAAAAACTCCAATGGAAGCAGCATTAACGATGCATGCACTCAATTTCCCCTCTTCGCCAATTTTTAAAGCTCTTGAACAGAAAAAAACGTTAAAAACGAGGTGAAAAGTAAAAGGTACTTAA